CTATGTAATTTAATAATAGTTGTCTATAATCGTGAGGTAAAAAACTAGAGTAAAGTTACATTATAAAAGTTGTACTAAAAGGACTACTTAATAAAGGCTTGGTTGTGGTTAATAATAATTCAGGTAGTAGAGTAATTTAAAGTTGAAAATACTTGTGTCGAAAAGCTAAAAATGATCTTTAAGTAATCTTAAATTAGTTATTAATAAGTACTTACAATAAACGGAGATACACTGTGTATGAGATATACAAGAGGGATTTTTTTTAAATATTGATTTATGAAACAAATTTATTCTTCATAGTATTTTTTGCTTGCTTTGAAAGTACCAATAACGTTTCGATTGTTTGTGGTTTGAAAGCAATACGCTATCTTGATTATAATGTAGAATGATAACTTTCAATAAAAAAAAATTAATTTTATTATTTTTCCAGATTTTTATAAATAAATTTTAGATTATCGAAACGTTATTGGTACTTAATAAATTTTTTCATAAATCAATATTTTAAAAAAAATTCCCTCTTGTATACCCCATCGCTTTACACACCGTATAAAGGGCCGGGCGGAGTTTTTGGCATTTTAATTAAAACCCAATTAAGGGCAGGTTGGTTGGAACCACACGATTAATATAGAAACATTACTGCACACGAGGGTCCCTTGGGGGGTTGGTTAAAACATGTTAAAAATTGAGTTACATTTTAAAAAACTTACGTAATACGGTGAAGCCGGAATGTAAAAAATTGAATTACAAATTATATAACAATAAATAGCAAAAACTTACTGTAAGAGGGACAAAGTTGAATTGATTGAATAAATTACATTATTAAGTTAAAATAATAGAAGAACCTTAGCACGTGGAAGACGTGAAAAGTTAGGTTAAGACGCCGAGGTTAGCAAAGGAAACTGTAAAACAAAAATTTTATACAGGATGGTGCAAGAAATTATTGTAAAAATAAGAAGTTTTGATTGAAGCTTATAGTTTTCGCATTTGATGTTAGAAACAGAGAAATCATCACCTTTAAGGAAATTCTCGACTTTTTCCACGTAGTCACTCGTGAAAATAAGGTTATTATCTTTGCCTTTCCGCTTTTATGGATTTTAAAGTTTTAAGAATGTGGCGGTTGAGCTTTCCAGGTGTTAATCTTAAGTTAGTAATTTTATGTAAGCAACTGGCTCTGTATGATACATTCAAGATTGCGTTTAAGTTCTTCCACTGTTTTTTTATTAGCTTTGAAGGGGTTATATTTTAGACACAAATTTAGGAGATGGAACTCCTCTTTGTCAAAGGTGGTAGAACTTAAATTCGATACATTGGAGTGGAAGTTGAAGAAAGAAGCAGGGGTATTCGGTTGAGGTTGGGAATGAAAATTAAGTTTCTTAAGGTTTTTGAGTGTTTGTGATGATAGCATTTTGGGCTCTGGTGGAGTTGGTCTTCGTCTTGATGTTTATGTATTTAGGAAAAAGTTCTTCTTTTAAGCAAGTGGGCTGTTCAACCATATGTTAAGTGAGGTCCTCTTCATTTTTTTAACTCAGTTTTAAATAATTGTGGACTGTAGAAGCTCGGTCGGCTGTGGAATATGAAATTTGGTTGTCCATTCTGGCTCGAAATGGGGGTTCCGGAAAAAATCACCCCTTCTATTGTTTACCCTTTATTGGTTCATCCTCGAATGCCTTTGAAAATATCAAAAAACACAATATAAACATAATCTTCCAAGCTGACAACAATGTTAAATCCTTTCTGTCTCACACAAAAGACCCCATCCTTCTCACCGAAAAAAGTGGCATTTACAAACTTATTTATCCGTTCTGCCAATACTTCTATACAGAGTGGCCCAACGAGAAGTATACAGAGGGCTTTTAGGGTATTAAATTTAGAAATTTCGAAAAATCCTCGAACACGTCAATTTTGTCTTCGAGGGGGACAACTTTTGGAATACAAATCGCGAACCCAAGTCTTCACCCGTCTACGTAGGGAGCTTAACCCCTAAAATTTTAAATGGAATCCTATGGCAAATGGCACATTATTTGAAAGCCAATTTAATCGTGATTACTAATCTGCTTTGCTTTTTAAATTCTATTGATTCGATTCGGAGAACTGACAGGTTCACTTAAGTTTAACAAACAAATTGAAGGGTCAAAATAAAATGTTTATAAAGGTGACTTAGATTAGATTGACATTTGTTTTGGTTTTTTTAGAAAAAACCATTTCAAATGCGAATTATCTCCGATACGAATCAATAGAATTTAAAAAGCAAAGCAGATTAGTAATCACGATTAAATTGGCCTTCAAATAATGTGCCATTTGCTATAGGATTCCATTTAAAATTTTAGGGGATAAGCTCCCTACGTAGAGGGGTGAAGACTTGGGTTCGTGATATTTGTATTTCAAAAGTTGTCCCCCTCGAATACAAAATTGACGTGTTCGAGGATTTTTCGAAATTTCTAAATTTAATACCCTAAAAGCCCTCTGTATACTTCTCGATGGGCCACTCTGTATAATAATCTTGCATTTTTATCACAAAATGATAATAATTTGTTATCAAAATTAACTTCATTCACAAGCTTAAACCTTTAGCAACCATCGCTCGTTAACAGGCAAGGCCACAAACGCCACCTTAGATTGGTATGGCAAATGACAAGCAACTTGCAAGACAGCTAGTAATGCAATTTAAACCACATAGTAAGTTACTGGTACCAGTGGACCAGGTATGAAAGTAAATAGCTCGCTAGATTATTTACTAGCTCACTGGTAGGCTAGTTACTTGTACTAGTAGGTGGTACAAGTAACTTGTAAATGCCGCTTTACATTCGTAGTTAAGATATGATAACATATAAAAAAGTCAAACTTTCCGTTTTCACTGTGCATCTCATAAATAAATATAGCAAAGCGCTTGCACGTTTTCACACTAAAATTGAATCTGAATATCGATTTTGATATTTTTTTATATAAAAAAAAATCAAATACCAATGAATACCAAACGATCTTCCAGTTCGTTTTTGGGGCTTGGGGCGATAAGTCTACGTAGCTGAAAAACGACCTTTCTTATATCCTTAAGAACATGTGTACCGATTTTCAAAGTGATCAGACATTTCTTGTGCCAAAGTGTCATGCACATGGGCAGACAGACAATGCAAAATGATAAATGATTTCGTATCTCGTAAATAAAATAATGAATTATTATTATTAAAATATAAAAATTAGAGGAAAATTCTTTGAATCAGTGGGTCTCAAACTGATTTCCATGGCGCCCCCTTTCATAAATCTAATATTATCTCACGCCTCCCCCCCCTATTCCGATTAAAAAATAAAAAGTGCTGTTACTACACACGTATTTAATAAAAAAATTACAGGATGAGTTTTTTTTCATTATGGGGAAACCGTAAGAGAAACAAAGCCGTTTGGGGCAAATTTCTGCAAAATTGTATGGTGATTAATTTTCCCGAATTATGGCAAAAAACCGAAAAATGTCTCTTTCGAGAATACTTTGGCGTCCATTTATTTTCAAAGATATCAACAAATAATTTTAACAAAAGCTTGGTAAATTTTTCTCAACTTTCTGACGGTGCTAAAAAAGTTGTTATAGCCCATAATAGTATAATGGCACGACGCGACGCGAAATGAATATTTAATGTATAATTCAAGTTTTTCACAATCCAAGGTACCTTCAGTCCCATCTAACTCGAATTACCGGGACTTCACTAAATATTCAACCAACTAAGGTCATATGGGTATTTTCCCAGTTCAATCAAACCAGAGCAATTAATATTTATTTTAACTTTGGGAAAGACAAATACACTAATTATTTAAATCTAATAAGATTACCTAATGTGCCCATATTGGTCTGGCAACATGGAGTGCCTTTTGTACATTTGAAACTAATTTCAAATGTCTCACAACCTATACAATGTGTTTGAAAATACAAAAAAGTGAGATTCTGAACAATTTCCCTTACCATTGCAGGACAGCACGCGGATGCCGGCTGAAACAAACGGTTCTTATTGAATTCCCCAGGTCGCTAGAGTTCTTTAAAATGTGAACCGCAAAGTATATGAGACGGTATAACACATTCTAAACAATGTTTTTAGATCGATAATAATTAACCGAAATCCCCAATTAAAAAATAACAAAATGGTGAATTGAGGGCGCATGTCTAACCCTGCGACTTAATGTCACTTTCAATTGTTTCAATTTACATTTTAGGGGAAATTAAAAACTAGTCAATAGTGGAAGTTTTAATCTGTAAAGATTAAAGTTGTGTTACCATAAATAAAGTTGAATTGTGAAATAGTGTATATTGTTGAGAAGCGTATAATAGAATACTAGAAGTAATACAATTTCACCAAAGTTGATTTGTGCAATTTTTAACTTCTTTATCATTATTTTACGGGTAGCCGCTTTAGAATTAAAAAATTTTTCGAATTTGTATTTTGGTTAACATTTCCACATGTTCCGCTTCATAGCGAACGTGAACGAAAGTATGTTTGGCGATAAGAACTGGTACGTTTTCGATAAAAGTAGGCATTGCATTTGTTTGTACTTCTATTTATGAGTGAAACCAATGTTTTACATCCAGGAATGTGTAAAAAGAAGTGGAATTTGATCGCCTATATTTTCAATCCACTAAATTCACATGCGTATTTATTCAGAGTTCAATCCGAGGTTCAATCAAACCAAAACATTAGACTTTTTTCAAATTCATTTCAAATTTTAAGAGGAGATCAGAGGTAAAGGGTGTACCTATATGGGTTTATTCATTATTTTATGCAGCATGTTCTAGAAATAAAAATTATGCTATTGTGTTTTGTCTGTCCTGCACATCTAAACCCACTACTGTGGTTTTAACCTACTTTTACAAGAATTTTTTTGAATATGCCTCTCCATAAATTATTACCTGAAATTTAATTTTTGCCTTTTCAAGCAAGAAGCTAAACTGAAGATGAAACCTTACAGCCTGTAGAGAAAAAGAAAACAAACAACAGGAGAAACAAAGATTTATAAAATTCAGTTGCAAAAAAAGTAACAAATAAATGTTCAACTTTCCTAAATTGTTTAACCAAGAACTGATGCAGTTTTGATAACAAAACCAACAATGACTTCTAGACTTGCGTCAAACCTGATTACCCCACTTTCATTTACCATCTCCATCGCAGTTATATGGCTCAATTTCTTTGGGGAAAACCTCAAACAAATTTGATTACCAAAAACTGAAAATTAAAAAGTTGGGATGAAATGCTTCTATCCTCACGGTCTTGGTAAAGGAATAGCTTTCCATCAATTCCTGTCCCATCAGAATGAACTCAATTAAAGTCGTCTCAGGGTATTCACAAAATTCGAGATGAGTCAGTGGGATTAAAAATGTCGCACATAGCGCAAGAATATCTCCACACTAACCAAGAATTGATTCCCTGAAAATTCGATCATTATAGAAAATAATTCCTAATGTTGCAACCCCTTCAGTGAGTCCCTCTAATAAAGCACATAGAAGGCACATGTCAAGAATCAGAATCAAAAAAACATACGGAATGATTAGTTGCACAATATTCACCTGTAAAATATGATCTCCACTTTGCAATCTACCATCACGGTCAGCAACTCCCCCAGGTAAAATAGTCTTTACCACGACTCCCATCGTTCGGACACCAACTATGCCAAAACCAAGCCCGGTACCGTCATTCACTAAATCAATACCCTCCACCTGAGCCCATTCCGTACTTAGCAACATATCCGAGCCTGCCTTAGAGGAATCGCTAACGGCAGATGGAGATCTATGGACATTTTCTTCATCTGTCCTTGGAACGATCGTCAAACCTTGAGCTTTTTGTAAAATACGCAATGCCTAAAATGGAAAGTGCATAAAGGTGTTTTTTTATTTAACATCTAACTACCTCTTGATGTGATATGTTAGGATCTAATTGTTTTCCGTCCACTAAAAGTATTTTATCGTCCGAGACATTGAAGTTGTGCACTTGAGGTGAACTGGGAGAAACCGGTGCTGACGGCACCCTTTGCTCGTCAAAATCTTGCGAGTGATGGAAATCCTCCCCATAACCGGGATCATACAGTTCACCACCCGGAGGAACGTTTATGGCTAATTCGCCTGATGGAGTTATATCGAAATCGACGGGCAATATGGAGGGATGCTGTCCCAACTGTTGATTTAACTCGCTTAGGGAGTCTTGAACTGTCACTATACTTCTAAATATTGGATTCTCTAATACTGAAATTAATAAATTGAGATCTTGGTTTGTGTTTGCTTGAAGTTTGAGGTCATCTAAATCTTCTACTGTTTGTTTAATATCTTCTAATAACTGAAGAGCACTAGATATATCTGCGTTTAAATGCATTGAGTTGAATGAAATATTTAAATGTTTATAATAATTTACAACAAAAATGAACACAACAATCAACAGAAAGTAAATGATAACTGAGAACTGACAACTAAGCATTGATTTTTTTAACTTTCCCATTACATAAGCGACGTTGCCATGAAATTTAACATGTACAGGGTGATTCATAGTACAATGAGTTCAACAGTGGCAAGCTTACCGATGGGTGCCCATTAAAATTAAAGCAGAAAATTGGCTCACTTTCTACTGACAGCTATATAAAAATGCATTAGTGAATTCCTTCGAGATACGAGGATTGTATCGACGGATATCAGATGCAATTCATCTAAGCGGTCTGGCGACGCACCTCTTAAACTTTTGAAGAGGTCCGTGGGTCTAGCCAAGGCTGCAAAACATTATTGATACCATTCGTGAGCCCACACAGTTTGAAGAAAATATTTATGCCTACACTGCCTTACGAGATTATTTATTGACTTTTATCTTTTCATAAGCCCTCGACACCACTAACGTCGTTGACAACCATATAAAGATATGATGAAGGAAGGAAACCCAACTCGCTGGTGTCAGCACCTNGCTGTAACTTTTGAACTAGTAGCCTAATCTTGGAACTGTTTGAAATTGTGGATTCTACAGGCCACATTCTATAAGAAAATTTTTTTTCCGGGTCGATCTGAGAATTTTTTTTCGGGGCTCAAAAAAAGGCAGTGTATAACCTTCCTTTTTTACCAAAAATCGACTACACCAAAATTTCTCGGGAAAACACTTTTTCTATTAATTTGGGTGCGTAGAATCGAAATCAATTCGTACTTTTTCGATCCGACTTCTCAATCAAAAGTTAGACAAGAAACCAATTTCGAAAGAAAATTCAAAGGCTGTAACTTTTGAACTAGTAGCCCAATCTTGGAACTGTTTGAAATTATGGATTCTACAGGCCACATTCTATAAGACAATTTTTTTTCCGGGTCGATCTGAGACAATTTTTTCTTCGGGCCTTAAAAAAAGGTAGTGTATAGGTACACTTCCTTTTTTGCCAAAAATCGACCCAAAATTTCTCGGGAAAAGACTTTTTCTTATTAATTTTGGTGCGTAGAATCCAAAACAATTCGTACTTTTTCGATCAAACTTCTCAATCAAAAGTTATAGACTAGAAACCAATTTCGAAAAAAAATTCAAAGGGCTGTAACTTTTGAACTAGTAGCCCAATCTTGGAACTGTTTGAAATTATGGATTCTACAGGCCACATTCTATAAGTAAATTTTTTTCCGGGTCGATCTCAGACAATTTTTTTTTCGGGGCTCAAAAAAAGGCAGTGTATAACCTTCCTTTTTTACCAAAAATCGACTACACCAAAATTTCTCGGGAAACCACTTTTTCTTATTAATTTGGGTGCGTAGAATCCAAAACAATTCGTACTTTTTCGATCAGACTTCTCAATCAAAAGTTATAGACTAGAAACCAATTTCGAAAGAAATTTCAAAGGGCTGTAACTTTTGAACTAGTAGCCCAATCTTGGAACTGTTTGAAATTATGGATTCTACAGGCCACATTCTATAAGAAAATTTTTTTTCCGTGTCGATCTGAGACAATTTTTTTTTCGGGGCTCAAAAAAAGGCAGTGTATAACCTTCCTTTTTTACCAAAAATCGACTACACCAAAATTTCTCGGGAAACACTTTTTCTTATTAATTTTGGTGCGTAGAATCCAAAACAATTCGTACTTTTTCGATCAGACTTCTCAATCAAAAGTTATGACTAGAAACCAATTTCGAAAAAAAATTCAAAGGGCTGTAACTTTTGAACTAGTAGCCCAATCTTGGAACTGTTTGAAATTATGGATTCTACAGGCCACATTCTATAAGAAAATTTTTTTTCGGGTCGATCTGAGACAATTTTTTTTTCGGGGCTCAAAAAAGGCAGTGTATAACCTTCCTTTTTTACCAAAAATCGACTACACCAAAATTTCTCGGGAAAACACTTTTTCTTATAAATTTTGGTGCGTAGAATCCAAAACAATTCGTACTTTTTCGATTAGACTTCTCAATCAAAAGTTATAGACTAGAAACCCATTTCGAAAGAAAATTCAAAGGGCTGTAACTTTTGAACTAGTAGCCCAATCTTGGAACTGTTTGAAATTATGGATTTTACAGGCCACATTCTATAAGAAAATTTTTTTCCGGGTCGATCTGAGACAATTTTTTTTTCGGGGTTCAAAAAAAGGCAGTGTATAAACCTTCCTTTTTTACCAAAAATCGACTGCACCAAAATTTCTCGGGAAAACACTTTTTCTTATTAATTTTAGTGCGTAGAATCCAAAACAATTCGTACTTTTTCGATCAGACTTCTCAATCAAAAGTTATAGACTAGAAACCAATTTCGAAAGAAAATTCAAAGGGCTGTAACTTTTGAACTAGTAGCCCAATCTTGGAACTGTTTGAAATTATGGATTCTACAGGCCACATTCTATAAGAAAATTTTTTTTTCCGGGTCGATCTGAGACAATTTTTTTTTCGGGCTCAAAAAAAGGCAGTGTATAACCTTCCTTTTTTACCAAAAATCGACTACACCAAAATTTCTCGGGAAAACACTTTTTCTTATTAATTTTGGTGCGTAGAATCCAAATCAATTCGTACTTTTTCGATCAGACTTCTCAATCAAAAGTTATAGACTAGAAACCAATTTCGAAAAAAAATTCAAAGGGCTGTAACTTTTGAACTAGTAGCCCAATCTTGGAACTGTTTGAAATTATGGATTCTACAGGCCACATTCTATAAGAAAATTTTTTTCCGGGTCGATCTGAGACAATTTTTTTTTGTGGGCCTCAAAAAAAGCAGTGTATAACCTTCCTTTTTTACCAAAAATCGACTGCACCAAAATTTCTCGGGAAAACACTTTTTCTTATTAATTTTGGTGCGTAGAATCCAAAACAATTCGTACTTTTTCGATCAGACTTCTCAATCAAAAGTTATAGACTAGAAACCAATTTCGAAAGAAAATTCAAAGGGCTGTAACTTTTGAACTAGTAGCCCAATCTTGGAACTGTTTGAAATTATGGATTCTACAGGCCACATTCTATAAGAAAATTTTTTTTCCGGGTCGATCTGAGACAATTTTTTTTTCGGGGCTCAAAAAAAGGCAGTGTATAACCTTCCTTTTTTACCAAAAATCGACTACACCAAAATTTCTCGGGAAAACACTTTTTCTTATTAATTTTGGTGCGTAGAATCCAAAACAATTCGTACTTTTTCGATCAGACTTCTCAATCAAAAGTTATAGACTAGAAACCAATTTCGAAAAAAAATTCAAAGGGCTGTAACTTTTGAACTAGTAGCCCAATCTTGGAACTGTTTGAAATTATGGATTCTACAGGCCACATTCTATAAGAAAATTTTTTTTCCGGGTCGATCTGAGACAATTTTTTTTTCGGGCCTCAAAAAAAGGCAGTGTATAACCTTCCTTTTTTACCAAAAATCGACTACACCAAAATTTCTCGGGAAAACACTTTTTCTTATTAATTTTGGTGCGTAGAATCCAAAACAATTCGTACTTTTTCGATCAGACTTCTCAATCAAAAGTTATAGACTAGAAACCAATTTCGAAAGAAAATTCAAAGGGCTGTAACTTTTGAACTAGTAGCCCAATCTTGGAACTGTTTGAAATTATGGATTCTACAGGCCACATTCTATAAGAAAATTTTTTTTCCGGGTCGATCTGAGACAATTTTTTTCGGGGCTCAAAAAAAGGCAGTGTATAACCTTCCTTTTTTACCAAAAATCGACTACACCAAAATTTCTCGGGAAAACACTTTTTCGTATTAATTTTGGTGCGTAGAATCCAAAACAATTCGTACTTTTTCGATCGGACTTCTCAATCAAAAGTTATGGACATTTGACCACGGAGTAAACACATTCTGCCGGCATTGTAACTGTGTACGATAAGTAAGCCACCCTTTATACACGGCACCAGTACTGTGCATCCTACAATTTTGTGGGCTACACATTTAAGTCTAATAAATTAAGGGATAATGATTGGAATAATATCTTATTAAAGACTATGAAATTTAAAGTCCACTAGAGAAGTATATAAATTATAAAGGACAACTGTTTTTAACTTTCACAATGTATAAAAATAATAAATTGAAATCCATCGATTCGTAAAATATTAAATAACGAAAAGAAGCTTTCGGTCAACGAAAATGATATATGGAATTTAAATGGAAGCATTTATGTTAAACAGGTATATAATTAATGGGCAATAAACCGATGACTATAATTACGAGAATATTTAACAAAAAAATAATGAGGGTTTTTACGGTGACCGCTGGGTATTATACTTCATGCAAATTAAACCGTGGTAGAATTGAAGATCGGTCCATCAAGTTGTGCCACTTAAACAACTAGTAAGCAATTACACACGAAGAAAACAATAAGGTCATACTCTGTCTTAGAAAGGTTAAGTTTCAAGATATTGTTCTGTACACCTTGAAATACAATCTGAAAGTAATAGTAGTAAACTTTCCTCTCCTTTAACAGTAACACTGGAAATATAAACTTTTCACTAAATTGCTTTCGGAAATGTGCAATTTCATTCGGCTTGTGGCTTCTTCAAAGTAGGCAGTTTGTAATTTATGATTGATTTTAATTGAGGAGGAAATTATAAATATTATACAGAGTTAACATCTAAACTACGGGCACGTATTTAGGTTACTTTTTTCGAGGTTTTAATGTCTTCATTCGGTTAAAATTAACCACGTCCGAAATACTTTGTTTATACTTCTAATTAAAGTCCTTAAAAGTTTCAAACATCCTTCATTAACATTGTTTTGTTAAAAAAATCGATAATTGGAGTAATCCGATATAAAAAGTTAACGATCGGGATAATTAAGGTGAACGCAAAAAATTAATTTAATAAAAGTAGACAATAACGGAGAGAAAGTCAACGTGATTGTCGAACAGTTTTTAGGATTCTATAAAAACACGATTATTTATCATTGATTTTCGTCTATCCGTCTAATTAAAGTCGATGTAGTGTTTTTACGTACCTAACATGATGCAACATTTAAATACGAAACTCAAACAGATTCCCCACTTACTTATAATACCAATAAAACATT